ACTCGGTTTCTTGACTCGTCCGTGTCCAGACGAATTGACTCAGCCCTCCACCCGCCAGTCTCTCTCTTTCTACACATCTTCTTCCTTTCTCTCTCTTATTTTCCCTCTTCTTTCTCCTTATGCTGCAACTATGTGCGCAGGTTAAGATGTGAGCACTTACGGCTTATTTTAGCAGTTTCTTGTCCCCTTCCACTAGCGAGTGAGTCGTCACGCGCTTCTAAGCTAAATATATTTCCTAATGGCCCCCAGCCTTTCTAGAAGTTCAATTATTTGCCACAAGTTTTTGGCCTTTTATTTCAAACGAGTACAGGTAGTGGTTAATCATCCCATTAGGAATAGGGATGTCAAAAGGGCCGTCGGCTCGGCTCGTGAAAATGGGGCTCGTGGGCAGCTCGGACTCGTAAAATCACGAGCCCGAGCACGAGCCATTGGGCCTCACCGGGAGGTGAGCCGCTTGTGGGCTCGACTCGTTTGAACAAGCCACAAGCCGTGGCTCGTCCAGCCACAAAGGTTAAGTGACCAATTCAATGACCGTTTCGGTCACTGAAATATTTTTTTTTTAATTTCCTCCCTTCTACTATAAATACCTCTTCCCTCAAAAAAAAAATTTCATATCAATTGCTACTCCAAATCTCCAACTTTCTCAACTCTCTTTTATTATATCAATTATCCAATTTTTACTCTCTTGTGCTAAAAAATATATAATATCAATTCAATTTTTACAGTTTATTAGTTACAATTTCAATTCATCCAATTCTCAATTCTTACAATCTCACTACATTTATATTCTTCTAGTTAAGATTTCATCATAAACAATCAAACAAATGGATCAACACTCATTTGTTGAAAGCTTGTTCGATACAGGATGTGGGCCACATCATGACGAATCGTCTAGGATGCCGCAAAGTCGATTTCCAAATGAAATTACCGACCTAAATGACCTACCGATACTTGAAGATGTTTACATTCACGGTCAGGGAAGCCACGATCCAATTGATTTTGATGATATTAAATTCCCAAAGCGGAACATGAGAATGAAGATATTGAGTTAAACATCCCAGATGCGAAGGGAAGGCGAAAGGCCAAAAAACAAGCAAAATGTTGGGATCACTTTAAGTTGATTTCAACTAAAAATCGATGGCCTTACAAAATCTAAAGCAGTATGTAAATACTACCAATAAAGATTGGCATGACAAAAAAGAATTGATACCACCCATCTCAACTGTCACTACAAAGCATGTGCGGCAAGACATGGACTTCTTTCAACTGGTCAAACACAATTGCAATTCGGCAGTTCAGGCGCCGGTTCTACAACTTCACCCCTATCCACGTGGGTGTACTCGAAGGACAATACTCGAACTGAAATGGTGAAATTTGTTGTCGCCACTGAGTTGCCTCTGGCTATTGCAGACAACCAACACTTCGTCTCGTTCGTGAAAGAATATCTTCAACCAAGGTACGCTGGGGTAAGTCGAAACACTCTTCTTGCCAATACAATAAATTATTTCAATAATTCAAAACAACAATTAATTATAGATTTGCAACAATATGGAGTGTTATATCTTTAACTTCTGATATATGGGAAGGGGTTAATAAAAGAGCATATATAGCATCAACCGCAAACTATATAGATCCACTTTGGTGCATGCATAAGAAAATTATTACTTTTAAAATTATTGAGTTTCCTTACAATGCTAATAACATATATAATGTTATTATCAGTATTATTAGAGAATATCATTACGAGACTAAAATTCGATCTTTTACTTTTGATAATGCTAGTGTTAATAAGGTAGTCGTCAATAAATTGTGTAAGATACTTCAACCTGATTTTGTTGTGTATTTGTTTCATATTCGTTGTGTGTGTCATATCTTGAATTTAATTGTGCAAGATAGTTTAAAACATATAAAGGGTGAATTTCAAAGGATTAGGAATGCATTAGTATATATTACGATCTCTTTTAGTAGAAAACAAGCATTTGAAGATTTTTTTGTCAAATTAAGGGTGACGACTGCTAAAACATTTGTTAGCGACGTAGGTCATAAATGAAACTCTACTTACTTGCTATTAAAGTAATGTGAATGTTTCGAAAATTTAATAACTGACTTTTATAACAATAGACACGTTAGAAGTGATGACGATAGTATGTTAAATGAATCCGATTGAATTTTAGTTTTGAAAGTTAAACGATTTTTGACATCTTTTTATGAGACCACAAAGATTTTATTTGGCGTTTATTATCCCACAAGCTGTATGATTCTTGAACGCCTTTATATAATTGCAAGAACATTCCATAAATATAAAAATGATCCTGCTTTTAGTGAAATTATAATTGATATGGAATTAAAGTTTAAAAAATATTGGGAAGAAATGTCTATGTTATTTCCTTTAGCATGCACAATGGATCCCCAATATAATATTTCGGGAACTAAATACGTAATTGATCAAATCAATAAAATTTTAATACTTGATACACCTATGACTTATAAGAATTTAGAGCAAACATTATGTGAAATGTCTGATTTATATGCGGAAAGAATGGGTGCAAATGTTAGTCGGGTACCATCTGCACCTACTCCTTCTGCTAAAATTGAAGAAGATGATGTCGAAATAATGAATTTATTTCAAGGCATTAATACATTTAGATATGATGCAACTGTAGTGTGTTCATCTAGTGTCATGTCGTCTACATTTGCATCTCATCAAACATCAGTCGAAACTCAAAATGCGATACCTGTCGAAATTGATTACTCAATCATAATATACCTTCAGAAGAACTAATTGAATTCTGGCGAAAGTATGAAAGACATTGGCCAATTGTTTCTGTAATTGCGAAAGATCTGCTGACACTCCGGTTAGCACTGTTGTGTTGGAGTCTGCTTTTAGTGCCGGTAAAAGGATTTTGACCGATGTCAGGAGCCGACTAAAAGAAGATGTTTTGGAAACGTTAATGTGCGTAAAGGATTGACAAGACGCTCATTTCCGACTACAAGATAAATATGCTGAAATTGCATGTCGTCAGGTAAGTGATATTTGATTTAATTATATTAATCAAAATTTCTTTATTTTTTAATCATTAAATTAATTTTCTTTAAAAAATTGTACACGTTACAACAAGTTGTTTGTGTACAATTTTTAACTCCACCTACTTAAAATTGATGTAACCGGTCCCAAGTTAGGATAAAGGAGGAGGGTTTACATTTTATCTACTTTAAAAAGAAATCAAAAAAATATATTTTTTGTAAATGTATTTCAAAAAATAATTCGTCTTCATTATATAAATATTTTATACTTTATAAAAAGTATTACAATATGATATAAATAAAAATAAATAAAAAATTATTTTCGTTAAATTATTTGTATTTTTTAATACTTTTTATTTTTTTTAAAAGTATTTTCTATTATTTCATTTATTTGTAAAACTCTTTATTAAAAAAAAATGACGAACCCACGAGCCCAAGCTCGACTCAGCCCACGAGAAATTGAACGAGCCGAGCTCTCGGCTCGTTAGGGCCGAGCTGACCATTGGCACCACTAATTAGGAATGGCAAAATGCCGATTCTCATCTTGTTCCGTGTCGCTTACTCCGTCAAGGTATCGTGAAACACGGTCTCCATCCAAAACTCCTTTTTTATTTAAATTTATTTCTTATATAAAATAAATAAGTAATCAGATCAAAAAATTGAAATATATTAATCCACCTCTCATAAATTTTTGACGGGACAGGGCATGAGACGACTTCCATGGCTTGACCCATCATATTGTTGCCATTCTTAATCATTTGCTCTTTATATGCATAAAAGTATAAAGATTAATATAAATGGCCATATCTTTTTGTTATCTTTAATAGATTATTTTGAATCCTTCATATTTGCCAGTCATAAAAAAAGTGAATGAGTACAGTAGAGTTTTCTAACCTATTTGAGTCATAATAAGTTGAACCCCCAACTGATTTTATGACGAGTCTTCTAACCTTTTCAATATATACAAAGTTAGTTTTCAATATATGACTTTTATCGAAAATAAATCTTTAAAAAGACACGTGACTTTTGTACATCTAACTATTTGAAAAGAGCCTGCACCCCTCTCACCATGTGTCTCCTCCAATCCCATTCCCAACTCTTGTAATTTCGATAAATTGTTTAGATGTGACTTGAATAGAACATTTGAAAATTGAGATCAATATCTCGGTTTGCTCTCCTGATTCTTATTTAAGGTGTGCTTGAGCCCCTTTAATTTAAAAAAAAAATGTATTATGAAATAGTAAATTGATGGAAAATGTATGGTTAAAAAAAAAAAATTTGTTTGCGTGTAACATTATTTTAATGAAGAATGTGTGGATAAAAATGAGTATCGTAGAAAAGGTTATTAAATCTTATGGAATTTCTCACTAACTCAAAATCCCAAAGCATTGAAAAATATCATAGATTTTATCACACCTAGGTTATTCTAATATTTATACAAACACTAAAGAAACAAGAAAATTCATATGCTATCTAATTTTTTCTCACTATGTGGACACAAGAGAAAGTGTCTCGTCAATACATAGAGATACTTGGCTATGTAATAGAGACAAGAAAATCCATATGCTAGACCTAATTTTTTTTCACTATGCGAGCACAAAAGAGAAAATGTCTCGTCAATACATAGATATATTTGACTATGTAATTGCTCAAAATTTTCCTTCCGAGAAATTCGACGGTCACCAGAAGAATTATGCCTAATTATCTTTCCAAACTTTTCCTGTAACGAAAGCAAAGAGAGGTTAAGCATGACTTCCCATATCAATGCTCCCTCCTTTCAAAGCAGGTTACGTCTGTAATGCATTGTATATCCCATAATGGGTCCCACTCGTCTACCATTTCCCGAAAGTCGATGACAGAACTAATTAGATCTAGCCATGGAAACCATTATTTGGCATCAATCAATTCCAAATTGACCAAAGGGTCGATCAATTCAGAAGGTAAAAATTTGACCGACCTTATTATTTTATTTTTTCGGTCGACAATTGATGCCTGTTTTAGCAATTTTTTTGAGGCAATTTTCCGATAAAGACCACTATAACCTTTCAAGTAAGGATTGGGACGCTTCAAATTGATTGGATTTTCAAGAACAAAGAGTATTGACACCTTTTCTTCATTGACCGGTCTGCTGCAATTATAGCGAAAAAGTGCTGTTGCACCAATTGAGAGAGTGAAGATTCTATTACAGAATCAAGGAGAGTTGATAAACATTGTTAATGTATTTGGTCTGCAATTGCTAGATCTCCTTCATATATGTTGGACAGACGTCGATCTAGCAGCATATTGTTGTTGCATAATAGTAGTGCACTTTTTAACTTAAGCAATGAGAACAACATTGTTAATATTAATGTATCCTATAATTAATTAAATAGTTGACATTCGGATCAGAATAAAAAATATGGCACTGGTTCACTTCACTAAACAGTCTTTTGTGATGGAAGAAAGTCCTAAAAAATTGAATGAATAATTTTCATGGAAAAGTGACCATTGTCCATGGAAAAAGTGACAATTTCCATGGACAATAGTCGCTATCAAACAATAAAAGTTGGAAAAAATGATATTTTTCATGGAAAATAATGACAATCAAACACAAAAAGATGGAAAAGTACAATATTTTCTAAGTGGAAAATTAAGTCAATCAAATGTATTTAATTGACAATTTCCACGAAAATAATTTCTAGGCAATTCAATTGCTTGGAGAATATTTTCTTTCCATGTAATTTTCCATCTTGCAATCAAACGCACCCTAATTGTAAGTGAAAGCTCAAAAGAAATATCAACTGTCATATTGAATCTTTTTAAGCTTGTATCATTTGCTGGATCGTGCTATATATTTTAAAATAGATGAACTATGTTACACATGCACATGAAGCAAAATGTTTCAATTACAGTTGTTCTGGATTCAAGCATTCGTTGGGAGGAGTGAAATCCTTGATGAAAATGAAGTTAGCAAGAACATGGGTGCGGGCGTGGGAGACAGGTAGAGACGTGTAGGGAGTTCAAACGATAGGGATACATTTTCAGTCGAAACTTCTTCGGGTACAACCCAACTTTGTAATATATATTTATGGGAAAATCCATACATGGAGACATAAATTAAAGAATGGATGATTGATAATCCAAGAATTTAAGAGCACTTGAATGTTGGTCCAAGTATAAAGTAGATGCTTTAATTTTGAAAAGGCTTCATTCTCAAAAATCTTGCTCAAATCAGAAGGACCAACTATTGACTTTGTAAGAAGGAATGCAAAAAATGAAATCTGGTATCAACAAACAGACTCAGAAAATTGAAAAAATAAAAATAAAAATAAAAATGAAAAAAGAGACGAAAAAAAGGTAAAAACAGGATAAACGAAGTCCTTGTGCTTAAGAAGCGAGAACTTAAACCTGCACTTAACAAGAACGGGCAGGTGATAAAGAACAACTCAACTCTTACCATAAGAGGCTGTGTCTTTGATGGCGGGGACAGCCTCATCATATAAACAGAAAGCAGTCAAAAAACCCGACCGACATCCATTAAATCTTTTGTTTCAAATTCACATCGATGATTTCTATAGGTGTTTTAGGCTGATAATGCTCGTCTGAGTCCACCTCTTCAATTTCCTGAATATCATGGCATAATTTTGCATTCAGTACATAATCATTCAAATTTTTTCACATGCAACAAATGTCTGAAATAAAATCATGGAAACGAAGAGCAGAAATTAGAGTAGAAAACAGCATATCTTCTTATCCACCCATTGAGATCTAAGTCAACAAATAACAAGTACTCAAAAGAAAAATAAACGAAATAAACACCCCTGAAAAGTTCACGCTGCAGAGATTCATTAAGTGCTCTCTTTCACGGGGAAATCAAGATTTATTAGTTAAGTCATCAACAGCTTAAGTCGATATAAATTTTGTGTATGTTGAATTTTTGACATATCTCCATAAGCTATAGAAAAAGCGTATTCGGACTTATAAGTCAACATGTTGATATGCAGATAATCGTATTCATCAAACACTGGATATTTGGCATCCTCGTCTAAGACTTGATCATCACGGCTTATTATCAATCTTCAAAAGTATTAAATGATTTCAGCAAATGCTTCACGACATTATCCTAAACTCAGAAATGCAATGACATGGACATAAGAAAGTATATGAGGGGAATTAAATTCCATCTTAAGAGTGGACAAATAGTTATGTCCAGGCTAGCAGGCGTGATCCAGTTCTTGTAATGAAGAAAAGTATAAGGAGTGTGTGTAATAACATCGAAAATGAGCAAAGATGTTCAACCTGTACAACTTCTTCTCCCTTGACAACTCGTCCAAATACACTAATTTTCTCATTTAGGTCTGCAATTGGTGCAGTTGTAATGAAAAGATGGAATCCGCTGCCATCCTGTTTTGCCTTAGAAGTACCAAGCATAAAAGCTTCATGCTTCAAGCTGAGTCAAGCATTACAAACTCAGTACATTTCAACAGCAATGGCATATTAAAGACTAAATGAGTTCAAAAAGAATATACGGAGATTTGAGGTAGATCATACCTTGTGTCGAGTTGATTATAATGTTTTCCCCTTGAAGTCCAATCTTCAACTGTTCCAGGTCTATCAACATCACCTGCTTGGATGACAAAGTTCTTTATTACATGGTTAAAGAGCCTTCCTTTAAAGCGTCCCTTCTTACTGCAAATTCAGTTTGGTCAACATTACTAGTAAAAGTTAGAATTTTGTGATGCACTTCTAGGACATTGCAAGTACAAGTGATGAGCAAACAGTATCATAGAAAACAAAACTAAGCAAAAAGCTTTGATAGAATGGAAAACATACAGAGAGAACATACACAAACACAGGGAGGGAGGGAGCTAGAGAAAGAATGAGAATGGAAGTAAAAAGATGTCAACACCAGAGGATTTTTTGGAAGTGAAAAAGATGTCAACATCAGAGGATTTTTTTATTCGCTCCTTTTCTGGGAATGGTCAGGGGAGTCAGACACTGAACATCCCCTCATTGTATAAACAAGTGAATCTAAATTAGAAAGTATTAGGTGACAACTGACAATGTCAACTGTTACCTTGGTTGATGGTCTAGAAATTTGTTGCAATAATCACATGACAATGTTGATCATCTTCCTACCTCAATGGACGAATAGCTCCATTTTGATTCATAACAAAATCTTAATGAGCTTATTGAGGAGCTATCAATACAACATAGTAGATAAAAAAAAATTCTATTAACAGCCTAAGGAGTAGTCTGTAACACACCAGATGCTGCTAGTCTTCGATTTAAATGCATGACAATTTACAAAATATATTCTGAGGTATAAGCATTGTAAGAATGCCTGGTTTTTACTTACCAAGGATCAGCATTAATCAACTAAAAGAATGCAAAAATTTCATCAACAGAAATAGGACCAATAAGAAAAGTGTGAGAAAATAGTTATGCGGCAAAAAAGTTTACCTAAATGTGCACCCTTTTTATGACATCTAAAATTCAGAGCAATTGACAGATAAAGCTGTCCTAGTATGTACCTTGAGTCAATAAATTCTGCAACAACATGAGGAGAACCTTCATCGTATAGTTCAACGGTTATTGATCCTTTTGAGGTACTTATCACCTGCTAACACACACATACATTAAATTACCCTGAAAAGGAAAACCAAAGAACCAATATGAAGATAGAAACACCTGAAATAAATATTTCCAAAGCAAGAAGATAAAAAAATAACTGATTTTCAGCCAAAAGAAGGATAATCAAATAACTATAACAATACTAGATTTAGTCATTTACAGTTAATATTATCACTGACCAAAAACTACAATGCGACAAGGCTACTACAAGAAGAGAATGACTTTAGCATAAATCCCATAATAATATCAACAGCCATGAAACAAACAGAGCACAACCTGCATATCCAGAAACTTACAGCATATTTGGGGATGACAACTGCCTTCTCTATATCACCAAACATATTATCGTGCTGCAGTAGATTAGAAAAAGATAAACTCATAAGGATGACATACATAGAAAATGCATTGCTGAAGGCTGCTGTTGAGAAAATCATATTTGAAGGGAATGCATGCAGGATTGTAGGATGAACAAACATTAAGAGAACCTAAAGTAGAAATCTGAGAATTTAGTAACCAGTTGTAAAACAGTGTACTTCTATTTACAACCAGAGGAGCATAGCATAGTAAAGTAACAAATGATATAGTAGAAAGAAAAAACAAAAAAAAATTGCTAAGAAACTGTTGGGAGACATTTCTTACCTCTACACCTAATGATGCATTCTCCATATGAAATTGTGACCTACACAGGAATAAGCAACCATGGGTTATGAACAAATTAAATGTTTATTTCAAGATTTCTATTTCTTCGCAACTAAGTATATGTGCATACAATTGCATCAGAATACTTAAATATTTAAAATTTATTATTCCATGCATATTTCTCAGCCTCTTTATGTTCAGAAAGAGTATCTTTTATAAGACAATCCTCAGTTTAATTTGCAAAATTATTCAGACTAATCACAGGAAGGATTAAGAAATTCAAACCATCATTCATTTTTCCCCAGATGCCCATGAAATCCATCTTAAATGATCTAATTATCCATATAAATCATTTCCTAATAATCTATCCACATTTGAATCAATTTCAGAGTTTTTTAACCAAACAGGGCAGCCAGATTACTACATTAGCAGCTCAGATGGAATCCAATTAAACTGCAAAATCATGAGTCAACATCAAGGAGAACAGCGGAAGAAATTCACAAACCTCCTAGACCAATGTCTGTAGGAAGAGTAAAGGAAAAACACCATGACAACAACAATTAGGGCGTAAATTAGAATGGAAGTGACACTGATCCCACTCGGTCTCTTTTTCTTTTTACTTTGTTGCAAAAGAGCTTGAGGCTTGATCCGCGCCATAAAGCTTTTAAATAAGCTTCAAATCTTAACTCTACAAGAAAATTACATATCATCAAACTTCATTCACATAAACAGATTCAGCATAGTTCTAGAAAAAACATCAAACAGCAGTAACCAAATTTCAAATCCTCGCGAAAAATTCCCTTGATCTAATTACCAGAGGACTTCAATGCATAATTCACATTTCAAATAAAAATAAAAATAAAAATAAAAAGCATTACATCACCTAGCTCAGAGAAAAAAGAAAAAAAGGCTTCAATTCACCGAAGAAAAAGCATATGTACAAATCAAGAGGAAAAAATACCAAATTTAAACCTCTTCTAGCAAATTTTATTGATAAAATAGGAAACCTTATTTTTTCTGAATAAATTCAACGAATGGCGAATTTTTTATTGAATTTTTCGGCAGTTTATGCTGCAAGCCTTCCAATGACGTTTTTTCTTGATTTTTACTTCACTCGAAGTACTCGAGTTCAAATGTAAAGCGACAGCCACGGAGGACCCATTAGAACAATGTGAATATCAAATGAAACGACGTAGTAACCGTATCACATCGGTTACAGTACCTACGGGTGGTACAGATTCAGGATTTTTCCTTTTCCTATTCCTGTAATTATTACATCGTCGTTGTTCAATTGGATGAGAAAATATCACTTTTAGTCCCCATCTTTAGCACCTATACGATTTTAGTCCCAAACCTATAAAGTTGCTCTACTCACTCTCAAGCATTTGCTACCGTTTGCATGTGAAGTCATTTTATGTTTTTTATGTTAAAATTACAAGTTAAAAGTCGTGCACCGAACATACTCATAATCCTATGAACTTGACGGAAATGGACATCTATGACATAGGACGAGATATTGGGGGCCTAAACTACGGATGACAATGGGCTCGAGCGGTTTGAGAGTTCGCAAACTCGTCAACTAGATCAAATAGGTTTTTGATATAATTAAAAATAGTTATAGATTTCTTTGTTACTTTTTCACTAAAACCCACATTTTATTACTTATTCATTAAAAAGTCATACTTTGTTTCTTTGTTACGGTTCATCAATTGCTTCCCGCTCTTCTTATTGTTTGTTAGGCGAAATGTATCATCATTGCTAGAATCAACTCAAATCGATCATCAATCAAAACTCTAGCCTTGCCATGAAGAATCCATCCACCGCCAACATAATCCACTGACGCCATATTCATCAGTCTATTACCCCATCACATTGTGAGAAGCATGTGCATTGATAAATATTTTGCATTTTCATTATTATAATATAATTATCATCATGTAATGATTTTTAAGTTCAATACAAGCACGTTGCATAAAACTAAAAATCAAACATAAAAAGAAGAAAAAGTAGGGACGGAAAAATGCACAAGCGCAACCTGATCCTGTAGGGATTCCCCTATCCATTGGGGAATAGGCAATGATGAAAAAACATGTTCCCTCATCTGAATCTATCCCAAATATTATTATTATTTTTTATTTTATGTTTTTAAGTTTAAATCATATTTAAAAATAACAATCAATATTAAAAAATAAATAGATCATTCAATTGGACAGAGAACAAAAAATATTTTAATCCCTACGCCATTCCTGCCTCTAAAACTTCGTTGCCATCGCAAGTAATAAGCAAGAATTGACAGTAATTGATTGATCGAAACCTTAACAGGTATTGGGTGGGCCCGAGCCAATCCAGTTTTTCCCTTGAAAGGTAGGTTGGGTGGAGCCTTCTAATGGTAGGTTAATGGAAAAAAAATTCAAGTGAAAATTACAGGAATAAAGAGATTTGGAGATCTCAATTCATAAATCATTTTATTAATTCAAAAATCAGAGTTTTTTTTAATTAACTAATATAAGAAAAATAAAAAATACTTGTATTAAATATAACAATTCAAAAATTAAATAATCTACCATACACAATTTCATCCCAAACCTTAATTATCTCTATCCCTTCTCTCCTCTAAGCCTCCTACCTCTCTATTTTCTCTTCTCTCACCCTCTCCCTAACCTCTCGTCGGTGATGAGGGTAGCCCACGATGATCGGTGCAGCTAAAGATGTCGATAAGGCACAGATCAATTGTGGATCGGGGACGATGCCACTGCACGCAGCTAGGCGCCGATTGCCGCTTCCTCTTCAGTGTTGTAAATTGAAGGGTGCTACAGATCGAGGGTCCTTTCCTTTATTTTTTTCCCTAGTCACGGATGGTTGTGTTTATGGTGTTGATTGTTGGGTGGTTGTGGTTATGTGAGATTCCAATGCTGTTTTCAATGTGTGTGCGATTTCGATTGGCTAAGGTGGTGAAGTGGTAGTGATGGCAAGTAGTATTCTAACGAGATCGAGGACAAAGCAAAGAGCTAGGTAGCGGAAGAGCTCGTTTTCAATGATTGACAAATCGAGAACAACATGTAGATCTGGTATTCGATTCTTTCCATGTCATTTACTAGGGCTATGACATGGAGGTGGTGGTGGGTTGATTTATCCAGTGTGAATTGAGGTATGGTTGGCGGTGATGGGGTGGTGATGGTGGTGCATTGCATGTGGAGGTGGTGTTTGTGGTGCAAGCGATGTTGATGTGGTACATTATAGGTTGTGAAGGCGATAATGATTGTTAGGTTGTGGCAGTGATGATGGTGGTGGCATTGACGTCGACTCTGGCGGTGGAGTTGGGACGATATGATAATTGTTTCAATGTTATGACAAATAAATCAATTAATTTGTGATTAATAAGTAATATGTGACATGTAAAAAATTTTATTTGTGATCGAAAATAATTTGTTACCAATTAATTTGTAACCAATAAATAATTTCAGACCTAAAAATTTGTTAAGTTGTGACCAATATTTTGATAATTCGTTACTTAGAAATAATTTGAGAGCAATTAGTTTGATATTTTGTGACCATAAAATAAGTTGTGACTTATAAAATTTGTAACTTGTGATCGAGAAATAAGTTGTGATATATAAAATTTGTAATTTAAGATCGAGAAATAAATTATGATCGATAAATAATTTGTGACCTACGAAAATTTTGAATTGTGACTGAGAAAAACTTATAACCAATTAATTCGAAAAATTGTGACCAAATTATATGGAATTGTGACCTTAATATGTTTAATTAGTAAAATATATTTTTAATTAATTATTTTATAAATAAAATTTAATAATATGTCATTTATGAAATTTTAAACCACGTTTCTTAGTTTTGAAATGGCTCATAATTTAACCTTTAGATATGAAAGTTTCCGAAAATTCAACTCATTTCTCATTGTCCTTGCATCACCTATAATTTCAAGACAATTTCTTCTATTTTCCTTCGATTTCTAGAATTCTTCATCCTCAATTTCATTACTTCAAATCTTAACTCTACAAGAAAATCCCATAGCATCAAACTTCGTTCACATAAACAGATTCAGCACAGTTCCAGATAAAACATCAAACAATAGTAACCAAATTTCTAATCTTCGCTAAAATTTCCCTCGATCTAATAACTAGATAACTTGAATGTGCAATTCACATTTAAAATTAAGAAAAATGCAGTACATCACCCAGCTCAGAAAAAATAAAAAACGCTTCAATTCATCGAAGAAAAAGCATATGTACAAATCAAGAGGAAAAAAAATACCAAATTTAAACCTTTTCTAAGGAACTTTGATAAAAGAGGAAAAACCAAATTTTTCAGAATAAATTCAACAAATGATGAATTATTTGTTGAATTTTTTCGATTGTTTATGCTGCGAGCTTTCCAATTACTATTTTTCTTATTTTTACTTCACTGGAAGTACTCATCAAGTAAAAGGCCTATAGGAATATATGATTATCAAATGAAACGACGTATGGTGGTACAAATTCTGGTTTTTTTTCCGTCCTAGGCCACATGGGCCTTGGATGGAGCGTCCACCTATCGGTGGGGGGTCATGTGGCACTGGACATGTAGTCTTTTCCTGTTGTTAAATTGGATGAGAAAATTGAACTTTTAGTCCCCAATCTTTAGCACCCATACGATTTTAGTTCCAAATCTATGTTCTTTCCAGCATTTGATACTGCTTGCACAAGAAGTCATTTTACGTTTTTATGTTAAAATTACACATTAAAACTCACATACTCATAATCCTATGAACTTGAAGGAAATGGACATGCATGGCATAGGATGAGTCATTTGGGGCCTAAACTACGAATGACAAGGGTCGAGCGACTCAATAGTTCCCTGGCTTGATTTACGAAGTGGAGCCCATGATTCGAAAAATAACCATATTAAAAATAGGTTTTTGATATATTTAAAAACATTAATAGATTGTTTTGTTACTTTTTCATTAAAATAAAAAATCCCGCTTTTCATTACTTATTTGTTAAAGAGTCATGCTTTGTTTCTTTGTTACAATTCATCGATTGCTTGCTACTCTTCTTATTGTTTGTTCGGCGAAATGGATCGTCATGGCTAGGACCAACTCAAAATGATCATCAATGAAAACCCTAGCCTTGCCATCTCCATCAGTTCACTACCTAAACACACTATGAGAAGCACGTGCATTGATGAATATTTGGCATTTTTTATGTATACTAGTTTTCTACCTGTGCAATGCACGAGTTATGTCAATTTTTAGGTAATATTAACATTTCAAAATATCTATTCATTTCTCTCAATAAATCTACAAATTTAATTAATTGTTTAAAATGATAAATGAAAATATAATCTTCATATATGTCAAACACTCTGCATTATCATATATTATTATTACATTACAGATTGTTGCTTAGCAACCTATCAGAGAATTGAAAAGAAAACAAATTTCATTCCTACGATTGATGTGCAATGCTGTCATTGAATTCTATAAATCGAAATGTAATCAGAATCTTTCGGTGAAATGTTATCTGAACCTAAGTGACTGGTAAATAGTACAAACCTTGCAGTATAAGTTTAGCTAAAAGATAAATAATCCTCTCATGTGTTGACAAAAGGGATAAAATAGAAGTGTATCAAAAGGAAAACTTTGATGCCCATTGAATTCTTAGTAAGAAATCTGTTTGTAGTTTTCTGGTGCAAAATCATGCATTATGATATTATAAATCTTTATTTGGATAGACTACAATGAACACACAAAATATTTTCTGATTTAAAAGAGATGAATAAGATCAACAAAAGATTTAAGACTGAAAATTGTATAGTTGTAAATGCATCAAATCACGCCAATATATAAACATATTAATTAGCTTACCAGATTGGAAAACAAGAAGTTTGCCACAGAAGTTTTCATCTCCAAGAAAGTAACCTAAAGCAATGAAGAAGAGTAGCATACATTATTTATGTACCAGATTTAATACTTTTTTACTACAAACAAATAGAACTCGAAAAATTGGAAAAAGAAGAGAAGACATATAAATATACTGTATATATGGATGTGTATAAAATCTCAAACCTTTGTTGCAATCCCAAAAGGCTGAATCAATTATTCTATTATTCTGAAACATCGATAGGATGCTTTCTAGCAATAACTCTAAATGTTGGCAGCACTGTATTAACACATTGCAATCACTCAAGAAACTTTATACATGAGTGAAATAATTAATACTTTGAAACACCTCTCCAAAAAAATAAAACTATATATTCAAAGAGGAGAGGATTGGAAAATGAGAATTGACATAAAACTGAAAGTAAAATATTTACAAAGTTGGAAAATCAACATTACTCAAAGAATTAAGTGTCAAATTTTAGAACATAACCAAATTACAATAAGAAAAAACTAAAAATATTAGCATATATTCCTGACCATTTCTAAGAGTACTTCTATGTTTGTTGGTCAAAGAGAAAAATGGATTAAGATTTTTGGCTGGAAAGTAAAAAAACAGATGACGGAAAATCCATTAAGTGTAGCTTTCTTTAAAATTGTTGGTCTTTAACTAACTGAATGTGATTACACATTCGGAATAAATGAATGGCTCTATCGGTCCAAGTCATCACTCAATGAAGTAAAATTAAATCCAAGGAAAATTGATTTTAATTGTCCTCATAATTTCCTTTCCTGTTGCCATCTTTTCAATCAAGACATGATCCTCTAGGTGATACAATTACTTCATTTTGGTTAGCCATTCAACGTGCCAGGGTTATCATTTCCATTTTTGTTGGGATAAAAAGCACCACATGTCCTAAAATTTCGAGGTTGTAAATTGATGGAATCCTTGATACAAATGAGTTTCAACAACCATTTTGTAGATGTCACAAACTAATTGAATTGGCTAAGATAATATACATGAGTGTACTTGAGAGTTCAAGTTGAAGCCAAAAGAGTTCATATTTTGTCCAAAATAATCGATACACGTAAGATATACGAAAAAAGAACCAACAAAACATATATATAATATCTTTTAGCACTATATAACACATTCATGGGTAATAAGCCCTTACTTTTAAGTGTTCATGAGCTGCTTTGACAGTTTGCCATCTTTTTTCTTCTTGCAGTGATGGCCATTTTTTCGAAAAATCCATAGCTTCTTATGGTCAAACATTTTTGTCTTCTTCATTATTGTTGTTGTTGTTGTTGTTAAGAGAAGCCTATTACGAATAAAGGGCTTATTTAAGTGCCTAATGGTTGAGAGTACAATTCCCATAGCCTGCCTATGAAATTAAAGTCCGGTATGACATGGAAATTGCCTTAAAAGTTAGTTGGAGTATGCTTCTTTCTTCTCGCATCCAAATTATTACCCTAATTGCAAAGTTGATTAGCATTGACTTCAAATAGGGATTTTCAGATAGTGTGCCTCACCTCCAGGCTGGATTATTGGGTCTAGCTGCCAATAGTTTGACTTGTTTGGTGAAACGGATTTTGGGTCACATATTCTCTCTTGCTATAATGATATGATGTATTGACTTATTTTTTGTTGTAGTGTGATAGCTGTAGCATTCTTTTACTCCCTCGGTCCCATAAAGATGAGTTTAGTTCCTTTTTTTGTATGTCCTAAATTTTAGGCTACTTTTGAGTATTGTTTATTTAAACTATTATTTAATGTAGAGGTATATTAGAAAAATGTAAGTAAAAATTTATATTTCCAACTATATTAATTGTATTTTCTTAATCCGGGTAAAAATGGAAGCAAGCTCATCTTTATAGGATGGAGAGAGTAGTAAAGATTGGAAAATATTACTAAAATAATTTGCACCCAATTTTACTGTATTAAATAATATCATAAAGTTAATTCTTTTTCCTTGATATCTTTTGTTCCTCCTTTTTTACTGTATGGTAATACAGATTTGTCAATGGTGCGTAGATATTCGTTTTTTATTCAGCATTAATTCCGGTATTTTTTGGTGATTTCCAATAAACAAGTCCTTTCTCAGTTTAAGGGGTTTGGAGAGTAAGTTACCAGATCTCCTAGGTAAATGATTTCCTGGTTAGTTAGTTACTATTTTTAGGGAGATTCGATAGGCTGTTATTCCCTAATTAATGGATGAATTTCTCATATATAGAAGGGGCTGTACACAAATTATTTTCGAGTGTGGAATAATAGTTCTTTCCCTCAACATGAACACTTAAAATACAAGAATAAGCATAATATTTGATCAATTTCTGATGAGTTCTTGAGATAATGGAACGTGGAATCGACATACCTCAGTTCGCTGATCTCCTATTTGGCCGCAATTTCTCAATCTTTTCAACACCTGAAGTAAATCAAACAGTCAAAAGAAACTCTTATTAACAGTAAATTCGAGAGAATTGTTAAAAAATACAGAAGAAGAGAGAAATTGAGCTACGATTCGTATTTTAGAAGATGACTTTTGGAACTCTTCTCCACAAAGGAAATACAATGACGAAGTTAGGGTTGAGGAACCAAAACAGAACGACAACTTCTTAGAAAAAACTGGTTCTATAGCCCCAAGTTTTTACACTTTTCTTCTTGTTTATTGCTAACCTTAGGTAAATGGCAGAAACCAAAGTGAAGAAGCATATATGAGAAGATAACTTTGGGCGACTGAAATATCACTCTCCCAGTCAACAATTATGGCATGAGTTAAATATTTATATTACCCTTTTTTGTCTTTGCCTAGTACCTCAATTTATGAATTACTAATATAATAGGATAGAAGGGTGATAAAATAGGATTGAAGGATAAAATGGAAAAATGAAAATACTTCACAAACGAACAGTAAATAAATAGCATATTCATTCTTAGAGTGGAGGAAAAAAATGCGAGATGATCTCTCCATGCTGGACAGAATATATATTATATATATATATTTTTAAATGTTGCGATGGTAGTTTATATATATTAAATTTTTTTTATGCCGCATATATTTTTTTATAGATGTTACGTAAAGGAATGGAGAAAAGTAGGAAAAATAGTATAACAATTTATGACTCATATAAATTATAAAGCGATAATAATTTTATTAAGAATTTTTACGTCCAAAAAGAAAAATAATTGACGTCATACACATAATATTTTTTTTTTAAGAAAATGATGTAAATTATATTGAGAACATTATCGTGAAAAATTAATAAACATTAATAAAATAATTGATTTTTTTTAAGAAAAAAGAAGAGTTATACGCATTTTTTAACACACGTTTGATGTACGTTTAACTATTTTCGATATTCATTTAGATCATTCGATGTGTCTTTGATATAGTTCTTGAAATAAGTTTCGAGAGAATATATAAGATTTATGGTAAATTTTTATTAAAAAACCTAAATAAACCATCCAATAAGAAAGACACTAAAAAGATATCAATCGCCCAATGAAAATAAAATTAACACAAAGCATCATATATATATATAAAACAAGCATATTGTTGCACATACTCCGTGACATAGAGCAAAACTTCTCCGTGTCACGGAGCACAATTGCTCCTAGCACCCAGGAGAACAATCGCTTTGTGCATCATTGAGAAAATGCTCCATGATGCACGAAGCATTGTACCACAATACTTTTTTTCCCTTTTTTTTCCTTGACGATTGACATATGTTTTTATACAAATCTATTTTACCCTTATAACGTGACACGAAATATGTTGAATCATGTATATTGTTTATTTCCTAAAAGCAGTTGCGATAAATAAAAGTGAAACTTAACACAATGTTGAAAGAATTTAATATTCAGTCGAAAAGATACAAATTAATTTATTTGACAATATTGAATATTTTATATGTATATAAATTTTGGAGGATTAAATTCAAATATATCAAATTTGGGTGATTAAATAATATTTTCAATCACAGAATTTTTCATAAAATAATATTACACGTAAATAATTTTTTTTTCATTAAATCGATTGGATATTGATCAATAAAAAAATTCGATTAATTACACGATTTAATTATATTGAATATAGTTATCATCAGATACATCCTTTATATGTAAAATAAGAACTCAAACTAAAATAATGTCTGACGTATAAATTTTGAGCTCCAATAATTTGGGTTTTTAATTCATGCATCAAGGGAATATTTATCCTATCCCTAAAAAATACATTTTAATTATAACAACACAAAATTGATGCCAACTAATTTTTCATCTAGATTATTTTAACATCTGAAAAAAATTTATATATAAAAGAAATTTGAACATTTTTAAGAATTTTTTTCATATTTTTTCCTCTCGATCAATTATTTTTTTAAATAATCTCAAAAATTTTTTGACGTAATTTAGAAAATTTCCTATTAAACTTATAAAAAATTTTAATGTCAAAAGAAACATCATTTAAAAATTAAGAATTTCGATAACAAACTAATTTCAAAAATTTATCGACAACTGTATGGTAGTCGAATGCATAATCTTCTATATTTTCTCAAAACTCATTTTGAGAACTATATTATAGACACATCAAATTATTTAAATGAATATTGAAAATAGTTAAACGTACATCAAACGTGTGTGTTAAAAATGCGTAAAACTCGTATTTTTTCTTAAAAAATAAATTATTTTATTAACGTTCTTATTTTTTCGCGACAATTTTCTCAATATAATTTACATCATTTTCTTAAAAAAAAATATTATGTGATATGACGTCAACTATTTTTTTGGACTAAAAATTCAAATCAGGCAAAACAGCTGCACCACACACGCGTAGAAAGACCAATAGTAGTGATTTCAGGAGTGAAGTGAGATACTATGGGATATTCAAGGGTAAAATAGAGAAACACAAAATACGTCTTGAATGAATAGTGCTCGCTACATTCACTCTTTTATTGTAGTAGGGAAATAGAAAATACATTTCAATTCTAGTAATACAAAATTAAGGTCAACTAATTTTTCATCTTAATTATTTTAATGTCTGAAAAAAATTTATATATAAAAGAAATTCGATCATTTAGGAATTCTTTTTCTTATTGTTACTTTTTTCTCTTGATCAATTAATTTTTTTAAATAATCTAATAAAATTTTTGATGTCATTTAGAAATTTTTCTGATAAACTTTTAATTTTTTTTAATGTCAAAAGAGACATCATCTAAAAAATTAAAAATTTTGATAACAAGCTAACTTTAAAAATTTATCGACGATTGTACGGTAGTTGAATGCATAATCTTCTATATTCTCTCGAATCTCATTTCGAGAACTACATCATAGACACATCGAATGATTTAGATGAATATCGAAAATAGTTAAACGTACATCAAACATGTGCGTTAAAAAATGTATATAACTCGTATTTTTCTTAAAAAATTAATTAATTTATTAATGCTTATTATTTTTTCACGACAATTTTCTTAATATAATTTACATCATTTTCTTAAAAAATATTTATTATGTGGTATGGCATCGACTATTTTTTTGGACTAAAAATTCAAATCAGGCAAAACAGTAGCACCACACACCTGTAGGAAGATCACTAGTAGTGATTTCAAGAGTGAAGTAGGATATTATGAGATATTCAAGAGTAAAATAAAAAAACACAAAATACGTCTTGAATGAATAGTGCTTGCTACATTCACTCTTTTATTGTAGTAGGGAAATAGAAAATATATTTCAATTATAGCAACACGAAATTGAGACCAACTAATTTTTCATCTTGATTATTTTAACATATGAAAAATTTTTATATATAAAAGAAATTCGAACATTTTTAGGAATTTTATTTTATTATTGTTATTTTTTCTTCTCGATCAATTAATTTTTTAAATAATCTAATAAAATTTTTGGCATCATTTAGAAAATTTCCTAATAAACTTTTAATTTTTATAATATCAAAAGAGACTTCATTTAAAAAATTAAGAATTTCGATAATAAACTAACTTTAAAAATTCATCTACGATTGTACGGTAGTCGAATGCATAAATATTCTATATTCTCTCGAAAATCATTTCGAGAACTATATTATAGATACATTAAATAATCTAAATGAATATCGAAAATAGTTAAACGTACATCAAACGTGATATTAAAAAATGCATATAACTCGTCCTTTTAAAAAAAAAAATCAATTATTTTATTAATGTTTATTATTTTTTTGCGACAATTTTCTCAATATAATTTATATCATTTTCTTAAAAAAAATTACGTGGTATGATGTCAACTATTTTTTTTGACTAAAAATTCAAATAAAGCAAAACAGCAGCACCACATACGTGTAAGAAGACCATTAGTAGTGATTTCAGGAGTAAAGTAGGATAGTATGGGATATTCAGGTAAAATAAGAAAACACAAAATACATCTTGAATGAATAGTGATCGCCACATTTATTTTTTTATTGTAGTTGGGAGATATAATTATCGTCATGTAATAATTTTTAAGTTCAATACAACCACGATGGATAAAACTAAAAATCAAAACATAAAATCAAGAAAGAGTTAGGATGGCAAAATACACAGGAACAATCCTATCCAGCAGAGATTCCTCTCTCCATTGAGATTCCCCTCTCCACTAGGGCGTAGGCGGGGATCGAAAATATGGTCCTCATCCGAATCTACTCCAACTATTATTTTTATTTTATTTTGTGTTTTCAAGTTTAAATTATATTTACAAATAACAATCAATTCAACCATGCACTTACAGAACCAGAAGAGTCCCTTCTTTCAAACTTTTGAAGAGAGGACGAGTAATTCTGACGCGGCGAAAAACAAGAAAATCAAGTGAAAACTTTAAGAACGCGAAATTTGGAATCCGCTAAATTATGAAAATAATAAACTCACGGATTTTATTAATGAAAAGATGAATAAAATAATGAAATAACCCTTATTTAAACGTGTTTACATGAAGACCTAGTTTAAGATAACTAAAATTAATGAAAATCAAGTTTAAACAAAATAAAATTTTAAAAAAAAATTCAAAATAAACTAAATGACAGAAATAGTACCAAAACTTTAAAAGTAATTTTTGAATTCTAAACGAACTTGGATGGCTGAAATCCATTGTTTGCCACGACAAAGCGGTGAGTTCTACTCGTCTCGTCGTTCTCTTTTTGAGAAGGTGTTATGAGCCCAAATCGGAGTTTAGGTGCTCTTTCTACACTATTACTTTTTTCCGATTTCGATCCAATTTTTCTTCAATCCATTCAATAATATGTTCTACTTAATCCTTTCCACCTCTGAAAGTTATTTATCGTTGCATTTGTAAGTTTATCTATTAATCCTTGCATGCTTAATGGCTTAACCTTTGTACCGTTTGACATGTCTTAAAAGACTAAAGCTATTATTCAAGCTGGACATGGACTGCTTCAATTGGGTTCTTGCAAGAGTATAAGTTTAACTTGAAAATATTTTGTTAATATAATCATATTTACGTGATTTCGTCCCCCTTTGGTCTCGTGAGAGAATGTTCTTTTTAGAGCTGTGTTAATGTTTTTTCGATTTTCTATGTTTTGGCATTTTTCATTTAATTCGATGAAAAGGAAACATGATCTTTTGACATTCAAAGATTGATTTTTTTTTTTTTTTTTTTTTTTTTTGTCATCTGAGTTAGATATATTATTAGAAAAACTCTA